GGGGCCAGCGGCTGGGCTCCTGGGTTCCCCCCACCCCAGGAGGGCCTCCCTGGAGATAGCTGCTTGACTGCAGAACGCTTTGCTAGGGCAACGGGCGAGCTGCACGTCAGGCCTCTGCGACGCTGAGCCGTTTGTTACTGCTGTCTGACAGGCACAGGCGGCGCACCGAACACTAAGTTACACACGCTGCTCCCTAACTAGTTTTCCCAAAGTTCAGCTGGATCCCATGGTCACAAACTGAACACCTGCTGTGTGCTGGTTGCTGTGCTGAGAACCTTCCGGAGCCGTCATGAAGGCCGACCGGAAGCCCATTTTACTGAGGAGGTCACCGCGTTTGGAGGAGGGACCCGCTCTCCTGCCTCGGGGAGAGCCCCAGCCTTGCCAGCTCCGGGATCACAGCGTGACCAGCTCCCTCACACGGGTTGGCCATGCAGAGACAAACCCCAGTGTCCGTGCACACCGCAGGCAGAAGGGGTGTCTGAGAGGTTCCCTGGAGCACCTGCAGGAGATGAAAACGTCTTTAGCAACATGAGCAAAGGCCCCGGGGCAGGAGGCATCCCTCTGGAATATCGTCCTCCTGCCCCTCAAGGCTCCCCTCCCCTGAGGGTCCCCCTGCGCCCTGGCCCTGTGCCCAGCAGGCACATGTTTCTGTCGTCTCCACGCGGGCGGGAGCCCAGTGCCTCGGGCAGCTGGTCTGTTTTGCGTGGCCGCCTCTCCGGGTGCCTGGAACCTGGGGACCAAGCCAGTCCCAAAATGGTCAGGAAATACCTTGGGGAAATACCAAGAGTGACCACCAGGGGGCAGGGGAGGGCCGAGAACCGGCCGGCGGCCGCGGGCGATGGAGGCGGGAGCTCCTTCCCAGCCCTGGGATGGCGGCCTAGGGGACGCAAGGCCTAGGGGACGCAGCAACCACCGCCAGAGAGGTGAGTGATCAGCGCCTGAAGTGCCAGGAAGGGGAGAACAATCATCCCATCAGCGTCGTCGGCACCAGCCACCTATGGGTAGGTTCACACTCACCACCGTCCTCTGTTGAAGGTCTGGGGACTGTCTTTATCTTATCAATGGGGAAACTGAGGCACGCAGTCTCACAGCTTGTGGAGCTGCGGCTCAAGTCCTGGCAGAACAATTCCTGGGTCCCAAAGGGAGGAACTGTGCCATGGCAGAGAGCAGGGGCTGTTGTGCAAAGGCCCTGATGTGGGGTCAGGGTGAGGTGCATCTGAGGACAGCTAGGAGCAGGGGCTCGAATGCAGGGGAGGCAGCAGGGAGGCGTGCTGTGGCACCCAGAGCTGTGTGAAGGGCCTGGCTCTCCCCTTCACCACGAGGGTCTCTTCAGTTCCGCAGGCTGCATGAGACCTTCGACACTGCCTCCCCCTCTGAGCCCTGCCTACCCTGCCTCTCTCCGCACAGCCCCAAGCAAAGAGCCCCCTTTGCAGATAGGGACCCTGAGGCAGGTCTTCTGCAGGAAACATGGCTGCAGGAGGTCTCTGCCCCCCCCCCTTGTTCGCAGTACTGAGTCTCTGGATGGGGTGTAGGAAGGAGAGTCAAGAGGCCTCTCCATTCAGGGTTTGAAAAACGATGTTACCGACATAAGAATCCAGGCTGGTTCCCGGCCCCGTGGAAGCAAGGCTCCTTAACAGTAACTCCCAGTGATAACCGTGGCGTAAGATTTGTATCAAAGACTATGCTGCCAGTGTGGCTGCATTTCCTGAGTTCCTCCTGTGTGCCAGGCAGGGTGCTTCGAGCTTTCCCACAGCCAATTGCCTACCACTGCGCCTTGGCCTCAGCCTGTGGGGGAGAGGAGGCTTGGACCCTGGGGCCGAGAGGCCTCTTTGAGGAGATGGCCTGAAGGAAGTGTTGGGGTTGAGGGTACGGCCTGTGCAGAGGCCCTGGGGTAGGGGTGGCTTCCTGAGGAACGGTGGGGCGTAGTGTGGGTGGGGAACAAGGGGTGGGGAGCTCGCCGGGGCCAGGGTTCCAGCAAGGTCTCGTGTCCTCCGGGCCTTGGCCTAGGACGCCTGTCTTGGTGAGGGGCTGTAGCACAGGCCTGAGCAGCCCTTGGCGGGCTCCCCTTGTCTGCCTGCCTGGCTGTGGGACCTCAGGGAGGGCCTCGGCTCCATCCTCGCACAGAGCGGCCGCCGGCCTGCCTATCCCAGGGCCTGTTGGCTGTGTGATCTTGGGCAGTCGTGTCCTCTCTCTGGGCCTCTTCTTCCGCCTGCCGACAGCAAGCAGCCGCTGCTGAGTGGGAGTGTGCCCCCTGCTCTTCTCTGCGCCCTCTCTGCCCACGTGGGGGTCCGGCCACGGCAGGACACAGACGGCCTCAGGCGGCCGAGAGGCCTGCTGCTGGGCGCGCCCGCTTGGCCTGTGTCCACTGGTGTGGATGCTCAGTTAGACTCACTTCCAGTTTGCAGTCTCCTATTTTGGAGTGGGTCGCTACTTTTCACATCCCCAGAGCTTGGTGGACAGAGGGACCTGGGTGGGGCGGCCGGGCTGTCGGGCAGCCTGACAAATGATCTCCCTCCTCAGCCGCTGGCCTGCCTTTCCCAGACCGCGTCCCGCCGGCCGCCTCATCCAAACATCCCTGGGGATGCCACCTCGGCAGAAAAATGATGCTGTTCCATTAACATCTGACACGGATTTGCAGGCCCCAAACAGACGAGCGAGCATGTAAACACCCGGCCTGGCTGGGCCCTCGCCCGGCTCAGAGCGGGATCCTCGTAATTAATTGTCCGCCTGCTCGCCTGCTGGCCCGCCGGCCTCCCCCCAGCTCCAGCCAGTGTGATTTCAAGATTGCATTCCCTCCTGGCCCCCCCACCCCCCCACCCCCGCAAACTGCATTTCCCAAACAGCGGATGTGCTTGCTTTTAGGAAGGAGGAGAGGGAGGGT